GTGGTGTCCCGTTGAGTGAGATCGATACTGAAATCGATTATCACCCGAGGGTTGGTCGTATCGGTATACAGATGTTGGTTCCCCCCTCTCCCCCCCACAACCTCCTTATCACCCGACGGTTGGTCGTATAGGTATCGGAGGTTGGGGGGTGAGATCGCAGTGGAACGGAGACCCTCAACTGGGAAATCGTTTCGTTTCGTTCGTGTCGTGCGTGCGGGCGAGGCGAAGCTGCGTGGGCGCACGAGAGGAATAAACCCGCCGTTGCTAGGTCGAAGTCAAGACAAATGAATATCCTCCGACCGCCCGTCCAGCGGTTGCTCGCGGTGTCCCGCGCTGTCCCGTGGTGTCTAGGGCGACGTCAAGACAAATGATTCTCCCCCTCCTGCCCGTCCGGCGGTGTCCCGCGGTGTCCCGCGGTGTCCCGTGGTGTCCCGTGGTGTCCGCCGTTGCTAGGGCGAAATCAAGACAAATGATTCTCCCCGGCCCGCCAGTCCGTCCGTCCGTCCGTCCGTCCGTCGGTGGCTCGCGGTGTCCCGCGTTGTCCCGTGGTGTCCCGTTGAGCAAGATCGATGTTGAGATCGATACTTAGATCGATGTGGTGCCCCGTGGTGTGAGATCGATAATGAGACCGATAATGGGATCGATAGTGCGATCGATAAGTATCCCGTGGGGTCCCGTGGTGTCCCGTTGAGTGAGATCGATAGTGAGCTCGACAATGAAATCGATACTGAGATCGATGTGGTGCCCCGAGGTGTCTCGTGGTGTCCGAAAAAGTGAGATTGATAGTGATATCGATACTGAGATCGACAGGTGTCCCGTGGTGTCCCGTGGAGTGAGATCGATAGTGAGATCGATGGGGTGTCCCGAGGTGTCCCGTGGTGCCCGATGGTGCCCCGTTGAGTGAGATCGATAGTGAGATCGGTAATGAGACCGATAATGAGATCGAAGGGTGTCCCGTGGTGTCCCGTTGAGTGAGATCGATAGTGAGATCTATGGTGAAATCGACAAGTGTCCCGTGGTGTCCCGTTGAGTGAGATCGATAGTGAGATCGATTGAGTCAAATGTTGGCTCCCCCCCCTCTCCCCCCCACACAACCTCCTTATCACCCGAAGGGTGGTCGTATAGGTATATATATATATATATATATATATACATATGCACCTATGCGACAACACTTCGCGTGATAAGTGGGTGGGGGGAAGAACCAACTGATGGCAACTGCGATGGTTGTCATCCAACGGAGCACCACCAGGGCACCATGCAGACACCACAGGGACACCATGAGGACACCATCGGAACACCACTTTGGGCACCTATCGGGACACCACCAGGACACCATCGAGACACCATCGAAACACCACCAGGGCACCATCAGGACACCAATTGGGACACCAATCGGGACACCAATCGGGACACCAATCGGGACACCGGCCAGGTACCGACAGGACACCGACGGGACAGCGACGGGACAGCGACGGGACATCGACGAGACACTGACGGGACTCCGACGGCACACCGACGGGACACCGACGGGGACCCCGACGGGACACCGACGGGACACCACGGCGGGACAACTTGGCCACCGCCTGCCCACCAGGGGAGGTTCGGGCAATCATCTCGCCCCGCTCCAGCAGCAGCAGCGGAGTCATTCTTCTCGCCCGCCCACGCAGCTTCGCCTCGCCCGCACGGACGACACGAGCCCGAAACCGAAACCGATTCGCCGGAGGGGGTCTCGTCTCTCCGTTCCACTTCGATCTCATCCCCCAACCTCCGAGACCTAGTGATGCGGCCACCCTTCCTGTGATCAGGAGGTTCGTGGGGGAGAAGGAACCAAAGCCTCACTCAATCGATCTCACGATCGATCTCACTATGGATCTCACCGACGGGACACGGGCCACCGCGGGAAACCATCAGGACACAACGGCGGGACAACCCCGGCCACCGCCGGCCAACCGGGGGGGAAGGGCGGTCTTTTGGCCTGGCGGCGCCCTAGCCAGAGGAGGGTTCATTCCTCTCGCCTGCCCACGGGGTGGGCTCTCCGATTCACTGCGATCTCACCCCCTCGCCTCCAGTGAATCGATATATATATATATATATATAGGTATACATATATATATATATAGAACACATACATGTAGATAGCAATGTGTAGGTATAGACATATGTATATAATACGTGCATACGTACCTACGTCCCACCCTCCCTCTCTTTCTCTTTATCTCTCTCTCTCTCTCTCGCTCTCTCTACATCTCCTCTAGCTCTCTCTCTCCCTCTCCCTGTCCTACCGCGTCTATCGCTGTGTTACTCCTCTCTGTCACGCACTCTCGCTCTCCTACCTCTTCTCTCGCTGTGTAACTCCGCTCTCCCTCTGTGCCTCTTTTTTCCCCAACCATCCTGTGGTGTTGGGTCCTCGGTTTGAAGAGACGGCGCCCCGCGTTCCTCACCTCCTCCTCCTTTCTCCGCCTCCCCTTCCTCCCCCCTCCTGCCCCTCCCACACCCATTCTGGCACACCCCTCACACGCTTCGTGGCCCCATAGGGAACTCCACCGAAGGCCCCAGTGGCTGCGCCCGCATGCGGTTCCACCATCCATTTTGGCACACCCCTCACACGTTCCGTGGCCCCATAGGGAGCTCCACCGAAGGCCCCAGTGGCTGCGCCCGCATGCGGTTCCACCCCCCGTTCTGGCACACCCCTCACACGTTTCGTGGCCCCATAGGGAGCTCCACCGAAGGCCCCAGTGGCTGCGCCCGCATGCGGTTCCACCCCCCATCTGGCACACCCCTCACACGTTTCGTGGCCCCATAGGGAGCTCCACCGAAGGCCCCAGTGGCTGCGCCCGCATGCGGTTCCACCCCCCATTATGGCACACCCCTCACACGTTTCGTGGCCCCATAGGGAGCTCCACCGAAGGCCCCAGTGGCTGCGCCCGCATGCGGTTCCACCCCCCTGTGGCCCTCACACGTTTCGTGGCCCCATAGGGAGCTCCACCGAAGGCCCCAGTGGCTGCGCCCGCATGCGGTTCCACCCCCCATTCTGGCACACCCCTCACACGTTTCGTGGCCCCATAGGGAGCTCCACCGAAGGCCCCAGTGGCTGCGCCCGCATGCGGTTCCACCCCCCATTCTGGCACACCCCTCACACGTTTCGTGGCCCCATAGGGAGCTCCACCGAAGGCCCCAGTGGCTGCGCCCGCATGCGGTTCCACCCCCATTCTGGCACACCCCTCACACGTTTCGTGGCCCCATAGGGAGCTCCACCGAAGGCCCCAGTGGCTGCGCCCGCATGCGGTTTCCACCCCCCATTCTGGCACACCCCTCACACGTTTTAGGGAGACGTGTGGCCCCATAGGGAGCTCCACCGAAGGCCCCAGTGGCTGCGCCCGCATGCGGTTCCACCCCCCATTCTGGCACACCCCTCACACGTTTCGTGGCCCCATAGGGAGCTCCACCGAAGGCCCCAGTGGCTGCGCCCGCATGCGGTTCCACCCCCCATTCTGGCACACCCCTCACACGTTTCGTGGCCCCATAGGGAGCTCCACCGAAGGCCCCAGTGGCTGCGCCCGCATGCGGTTCCACCCCCCATTCTGGCACACCCCTCACACGTTTCGTGGCCCCATAGGGAGCTCCACCGAAGGCCCCAGTGGCTGCGCCCGCATGCGGTTCCACCCCTCATTCTGGCACACCCCTCACACGTTTCGTGGCCCCATAGGGAGCTCCACCGAAGGCCCCAGTGGCTGCGCCCGCATGCGGTTCCACCCCCCATTTCGGCACACCCCTCACACGTTTCGGTGGCTCCATGGGAGCTCCACCGAACGCCCCAGTGGCTGCGCTCGCATGTGGTTCCCCCCCCCATTTCGGCACACCTCTCACACGGTTCGTGGCCCCATAGAGAGCTCCACCGAAGGCCCCAGTGGCTGCGCTCGCATGTGGTCCCCCCCCATTTCGGCACACCCCTCATACGGTTCGTGGCCCCATAGAGAGCTCCACCGAAAGCCCCAGTGGCTGCGCTCGCATGCGGTTCCAATCCCTTTTTCGGCACGCCCTTCACACGTCTCTTGGCCCCATAGGGAGCTCCACCGAACGCCCCAGTGGCTGCGCTCGCATGCGGTTCCACCCCCCATCTCGGCACACCCCTCACACGCTTCGTGGCTCCATAGGGAGCTCCACCGAAGGCCCCAGTGGCTGCGCTGGCATGCGGTTCCACACCCCATTCTGGCACACCCCTCGCACGTTTCGTGGCCCCATAGGGAGCTCCACCGAACGCTCCAGTGGCTGCGCTCGCATGCGGTTCCACCCCCCATTTCGGCACACCCCTCACACGCTTCGTGGGTGGCTCCATGGGGAGCTCCACCGAACGCTCCGTGGCACTGCCCGCTTGCGTCCGCCACCACCCAGCACAGCCCTTGTTCCCTGCACTCCACCCACCCAGAACAGCGCTTCGTAGCCCTATAGGGAGCTCCACCAAAGGTCCCAGCGGCACCGCCCGCATGCGTCCGCCACCACCCTGCGCAGCCCTTGCTCCCTGCCTGCGTTTCACCCACCCAGTACAGCGTTTCGTGGCCCCATAGGGAGCTCCACCGAAGGTCCCAGTGGCACCGCTCGCATGCGTCCGCCACCACGCAGCACAGCCCTTGCTGACCGCGTCTCACCCACCCAGTACAGCGTTTCGTGGCCCCATAGGGAGCTCCACCGAAGGTCCCAGTGGCACCGCCCGCATGCGTCCGCCACCACCCAGCACAATTGCGGCATTCACAACTGCCTATGGTTGGGTCCTTCGCCAGGCTATGTTTTTTGTTTCTCTCTCTCTCTCTCCTCAACGAACCGCTCACGCGTTACATTTAAGACATATTTCGGGCTTGCCCCGAACATGGCTCTTGCACTCAATCAAATCAATTGTCGCACGAGCCTCACCACATCGAATGCTCATCACCTGAACAATCCATGGCCAATATTCGATACAATCATGAATCCTCGTACGCCCACCGCTGCCGCCGGCCGACCCGAATGAAAACAGTCACGCTGGCGTTGGTGGGGACGTTGGAGATCTCGGAGCGTTGCAGAACGCGCATACTTGCAAGCAGCTGAGCGCCACGCTTGCCACACGCTGCTCGCATGTGATCCGTCCCCTTGTCCTTCCCTCACCATCAGGAGTCCTCCTGCTTACCGAAAACTGTCAGGCAGCACTACCTTCAGACACCTTCTCCTCATCCTCCTCATCCTCTATCCCCTCATCCTCCTCAGGATCCCTCTCCTTTAAAGAAACCGAGAACTGCAAAATAATAAACTGCTGGAAATCCGCGCGGAATTCTTGGATCCGCGCTGTGCCTCCCCCTGCCTTGCGCGCAGAGCGCGCCAGCAGCGGCGCCAGAGGCGCCGCGGGGGGGGGGTCAGGCGCCGATCCAAGACAGTGAGCGTTTTTTCTGATTCGGCGCTTCGACATTGGGCGGAAAGGGGGGGGGGTCTGGCTCCAGACCTCTGCTTAGTGCGACTGTTTGCAGCAGTGCGGCCGATGGAGGAGGGACCCGCGTGCTCGAAACAGGCGCCAAAAACAGCCAAGATCCACTCCATGGGGGGGAGCGAGGGGGGGGTGCGAGGGCCCGCGCCGATTGGCAAAACAAGGGATAACAACACGCTGACCAATCAGCGCTCCGAAAGGTTATGCTTACAAGCTATTCTTCACCGATTCTCATCCGCCTCCTGCTCCAGGGCTGACTGCCCCGAGGGGGCACAACTGATGGGCCTGTTTTCCACCACCACCATAAGAAGTTGGAGGGGAGGAGGGTCCTCCTCCTCCTCCTCCTCCTCCTTCACCTCTTCCTCCTCTTCCTCCTCTTCGTCATCCTCCTCCTTGTCCTCCTCCTCCTCGTCCTCCCCCCCCTCGTCCTCCACCTCCTTCCCCCCTCCAGCTTATGGTGGTGGTGGTGGAAAACAGGCCCATCACCAACCCCAGAGCCCCCCAAGATGGTCTCAAGATGAAGGGGCCCTAGGACACACAAATAAATACACACAAACAAAAATATTCCCCTACATTTTACCATATTTTCTGTGTTGTTGTCTTCCCCCCCACTTCCCATACTTTCCCAGATTTTCCTGGTAGTCGACGATTAATTGTGTCTGTGTGTTTTTTCCCCTCCTGACAAGAGAGCATCGGACAGCGGCAAGACGGCCCAGTGGTGCCCGACGCCGGCCCTCGACGGGACCCACGGGGCGCCCCAAGGAGTTGGACGCCCGAAATGGGTACGGAAAGAATGGGTACAATGCCCAACAACAAATGTTGTCCCAAACCATCAGCGGCCGCTGTTGGGCAGGCGGCCTTCTGTCTCGAATGGGCACAAGCCGCGGCGGCGTGGACAGCGAGTCCTGTTCAGAATGAACGGGAACTGCTGTTGGGCATTGTACCCATTCTTTCCGTACGCATTTCGGGCGTCCAGAAAGGAGGCCCAGCACCAGACGCCGAGACGGCACAGTTTTTGGAACACCTGGCCGTTTCCTTCGGAGTGTGGGGGGGAGAGGAGGATGAGGGGCAGCGATAATGCGACCAAGCGACCCAAGAACCAATCGGGCAGGAATGATTCAACAAAGGGTTGGCTCTCGTCTGGGCTGCTGGCTGCGACGTGGCGGCCTCGACAGCGACGACGACGACAAACCAGGAATCACGTGTAATCGTCCAGTTCCTAGTTGGGCGCTGCGACCCCCCCCGCAGAATTTGTGATTCGTTGGGTCGCATCATGGGGAGACTGCCTCGGGAGAGGATCCTGGAAATGGCACTGGCGACAAATCACCGACGGATCGGCGCTGGGCCCCCGGTAGCAAATCCGCACTTTCTTGGGTAGGGTCGGCCATCAAGCCCTTATTCGGCGACTCATTAGCGATTAGGGGTCGAGTCGATGCATCCCCCAATGAGCCCATCCCCTCCCCTCTCGGCCTCCCCTGAGTTCCAACTCGTACACCTGCGACCGTTCGGAACGATCCGGGAACCTGTAGCAGGCTCTCGACGAGGCGCAGCTGTTGGAACGCACCCCGAGGCCGAAGAGACAGCCGAAAACCTCGAACCCTGAAGACCTCAGCGAGCCTGCCATACCCCTGACTGTGTCCCTGGGAGGGGAGAACTTAATCGGGCTCGGCAGGAGGGACCCCACGCCCGGGTGCTGTCTTCTCGATCCGCCCGCGCGCATGTCCCACGAGCACCGGCCGCGAGCCCTACAGGGCAGTTTTTAATACATCTGATTTTTTTTGTTTTTTAACATGGATTTTTAACACATGATCAATGTGTGAATAAATGTATGCATGAACTCATCGCTGTTTAAATACTAAATCCATGCATTTTAAATACATGATCTGCACGCGGAGCATGTATGAAAAACGGCACTGTACTGCTTTACATGCCGAAAAGGCCAACGGCGCTCCCACGCCGCCGCGCGCTGTCGCGGGGGCCGGGGCCCGAGCTCCACAGCGAGCCTGGAGCCCTGAGACCGTGGCGTCGCGACTTGTGCACACCCGGCGACTGCGCCTGGCCCTTGGGCCCTCGCGGATCTGTCCGGCTCGACGCACGCAGCAGAAGCATGGGGTCCAGCGCTACAGTAGGGGCGCTGACCTAGGGAACCCTAAATGAGCAACGAGGCCCCTTTTTCCCCATTAGTTCAGCTTCGATTTCCCATCGAAAACCTCAGGAAAGCCCAAGGCAAACTGTAAAACAGCGAAGGAACACGGAGTCCCTCCCCAACGACAAGGGTTCCTTCGTCAGTGCCCCGACTGTACGGCCGTGATCTTCTACGGTGCTGCAATGTTTCCTTAAGGTCGGACCTCAGCCGGGCGCTGGCAGAACTCGGTTCAGTGGGCCCTGGTTTGGTGATGCGCACTGGGGCACGCCCCCCCCGCCCCGTTCCTCTGACCGGAACTGCCGCCACCCCAAAAAGCACCAGCTGCGGCAGACCTGATTTAAGGATCCTGGTCAATTTGGGGGCTCCGGGGCCCTACTGCGAACCGGGCCCCCTCACCTGGGTCGGGGGAGCGTAAGACCCGGGTTTGCCAGGACTCGGGTTCGCCATCGTTTTTTGACGACCGCGCCTCGGATTTTGACGAGGAGGAGTTTCGTGGGATGTCTGCAGCGGGAGGCCTCGTCAAAATGCAGGCTCGGCCTCGTCATTTTTTTGACGACCTCGTCGGGGATTTCCGAGTCCACTGTACCCAGGTCTTACGTCCCCCTCACCTGGGGCCCTGGCTGTGCCCGGCTCAGGAAGGGCGCACGCGCCCGGCGCACAGGAGCACAGGCACCGCGCCACCCTGCGGGAGAAGCGGCTTTCGGGCCACGGCGAGCCGCGGCCCATGAGGAGGAGGAGGAGGAGGAGGAGGAGGAGGAGGAGGAGGAGGAGGAGGAGGAGGAGGAGGAGGAGGAGGAGGAGGAGGAGGAGGAGGAGGAGGAGGGAGGGGGGGAGGGAGGGAGGGGAGGGGGAGGGAGGGGAGGGGAGGGGAGGGGAGGGAGGGGAGGGAGGGAGGGGGAGGGAGGGAGGAGGGAGGGAGGGAGGAGGGAGGGAGGGAGGGAGGGAGGGAGGAGGAGGAGGAGGAGGAGGAGGAGGCGACCCAGACCTCAGGCACGGCCCGGAAACCCAAACTGGGCCGTCCTCCTGCCACGGACGCCCGCGCAGTGCGCGCTCGCGGCACCCCTGTGAGTGGACGCGCGTGTGCGTCTGTCTGCCGCTCCTGACCCTGGGCGGCCCACGGTGCCCTGCCTTCCGAGATGGAGAGTGAGGGCGGGGGGCGGAGAGAGAACCGCATGAGCGTGGCTTTTCGGAGGTCCGCGCAGCTCTCCTGCAGGATCGGCGTTGACCCCACCCCGGCGGCGCCCGCGCCGCCCGAGGATAGCCCAGCGCCAGCTCTCTCTTTCCCTCGAGAGGAGGAGGACGAGGAGCAGAAGGGGAAGCACGAGAAGTACGAAGACGGGGAGTGCGAGGAAGGAGCCCAGAAGAGCCTTTAAAAACCACATGGTCAACCTTTGTGCTCGACCTTCGCTCTGGGGCGGGGTGGGAGTCAAGGGCAGGCCGCGCGACGGGTCGGCACCTGGCCTCCGAGGAAGGGCCAGGAGCCCTCTACTTCAAGCGATGCCGACCCCGTTTTTGTCGGGCCCTCCTGTGGATCGCGCGATTTTTTTCGGGAGCTCGGGATTGCGTCCAGTTTCTGACGGCCCCGGCGTGAGTTCTGCCAGACCAGACTTCGTGAGAGGATTGCGCGTGTCAATTTTCAGACTAGGTCCCGTCGTTTTTCTGACGGCCCACAAGACGTGGCTCAACTCCAAGGTGGACGGATGAGGAGGGGGAGGGCGCGGCCGCCCACCGGGCGGCGGACTGGCGCACACGCGGGGGCACCGAGGGACTCGCCAAGGGGTGGGGAGGAGGAGGAGGAGGAGGAGGAGGAGGAGGAGGAGGAGGAGGAGGAGGAGGAGGAGGAGCAGCCGAAGGAGGAGGAAGAGGGGGGAAGAGGGGGAGGGAAGTGGAGCGGGGAGGGATGGTATGCGGGTTGGGGACTTAGGACGGTCGGCCGAACCGCCGCCTTGCCGCCACGGCATCTCCCCGAGCTACACTCCGAGCTCGAGGCCGTAAACATGCACGACCACGCCATGTTGTTGCGCTGAGGGGGCGGCATTGCATCGGGCCCCCCTGTCTGGGGCCAGTGTGCGACACTCTCGCTTCGCCAGAACCAGACGAAAAAGAACGCCATAAACATAAACTTTTCCTGCTCCGCGCGGATTTCTTGGATCTGCGCTGGACCCCTCCCTCCCTGACGCGCGGAGCGCGCCAGGGGCGGCGCTGGAGGCGCCGCCAGGGGAGCCCAGCGCAGATCCAAGAAACCCGCGCGGAGCGCGAAAAGTTTATGTTTATGGCGTTATCCCCTCTTCGATTCGCACTGCTTCGTGCCGCGCCATTGTCAGAGTGGAGCGCGGGGACCACGGCTCCCTGCCATGCATGTGCGGGAGCGGTCTGGACTCTTCGGAGTACACCCCCGTGCGTCCAGTATATCGCGAGGCTGGCTGCAGCCCGAGTCACCGTGAGCCGGCGTATTTGGTGCACGCGCGGGGGTCTGGGCTCTTGCGGATCCTAAACGGTGTCTCGCCTTGTAAATGCGCGTGTGCCACGAGCGCCCAGCTAGGGCTCTCGACCCATTCTGTGTCTTGGGTTTTCTGAGGTAGGGGAGGCCCATGGGCATCGCGCCCAGGGTACATCGACCAATCGAAGCGTCGTGGCCTTCGGGTCGCCTGCGGACTCGTAACGCACACTCTAGGCGGGGTCTTGCACCTAGACGACGAATTCTGTTGCACCGGAGTGCGGCCTCGTACCGCACCCCTCCTCGACCGGTGGGTGCGCGGCGGGACTGCGTCAGGAAAAGAAGAAAAAACTGCACAGACCTAATCTTTTAGCGCTCCGCGCGGATTTCTTGGTGGATCTGCGCTGACCCCCCCCCCTCCCTGGCGCGCGGCGCGCGCCAGGGGCGGCGCCTCCGGCGCCGCCCGGGGGGGCCCCACCGCAGATCCACCAAGAAATCCGCGCGGAACGCCAACGTTTTTTGTTCATATGGCATTGTTGTTTTTCTTCGAGTCAGGATCTGGGACATGTGCCGTGAGAGGTTCTGGGTAGCACACGTTCGGGTATTCCCACGTTGCTCAGGAATGCGCGCGTTGTCTCGTGCGGTGTGGGCGCACAGAGCGCTCTGTGCGCACCGGTAAGCTAGGCGCATGGAATCCTGTTTGGCGAATACCAATATTCGATGCTTGCTGGTGCCTCAATCATCGGCATGTTCATCCGCAGGGGGTCTGGTCCAAGTCCGCGGAGAGAATCGCTCACGACTGCTCGAACACGTTGACCATGCAGACTGTGAGCAACTACTCCGGATTCCAAAATAAAGTGGGGGGGTCACATTGGGGGTGGGTCTGATTTGAGCTGTCTTGGAGGGTTCGGGGGGGTCTGGGCAAAGGGCCGCCCTTTCATGGATGGTCTGAGGGGGTCTAAGACTTCTCGTCTGGGAGGGTTGTGACCCCCTCCCTTTTATTACGAAATCTGGGGTAAATGTGGCCTTCAATGTTACAGGTCTCAGGTTTATCTCCACAGTTAGCCCTGGGGTCTGGGCGTTTCGCCGAAGACATGAAACTGTGGGGGAGAAGTGGTGCAACTACGTCACCAGTGGGCCACCAAAGTGTGGGCGCCTCTCATTTCCCCGAACAAATTGGTAATTTCGCTTCCTCGATGGGCAATTTTGACCGCTCATCCTTTGGTGTACGTGGTGTTCGCTTTGCCTGTGGAGTTGCTTCGGTCACCGACTGTATGCAGCCCAAAGAAGTCGGGCCTCCCCTCCACACCGGTGTTGAACGAGATTACGTGGACCACGGTCTTGACCGTGCTGGGAGCCACATTAGCAAGTTTAAATGTTTCTTCGGTTGGGCGATTACCGTGTATGCCTGGTGGTTGGTGTAAGCCGATGGTGGGTTTCCGATTGTCTCACTGCAGTTGCGTTCTTCGACGTCTGCTCCACGCTTATGGACATGTACAGCGCTTACGCGATTGTCTCTCTGGGAGTTGTTTAAGTCGGGCGTGTCCCCCTAAAGGGGGATCTTCGACGAAAAATAAAACATACTCCAAAAATAATCAAAAATGCTCAAAAATACTCAAAACATAGTCCCCAGACTATTTTTGGACTATTTTTGAATATCCCTTCTGTAGAGGGACAGGCCCGACTTAACGCTGGCGAACGCGCGGGAGCCACGTCCCGGGGGCCCTACCAGGCCCCAGGCATCCATGGTCGTACAGAACACCCTGATGCACACCGTGGTCCTCGATTTGAAGTTGGCATGACAAACTCGTGTTTGCGTTTTTTGGGGAGATGTTCAGAGATTCCGAAGTTCGTTATGAAATTCAAGATTCTTCTACTCAATATTAGATCACGCTGCGGTTGCTGGCAAAAGTCTCAGGGCTGTGCTGCAATATTTCTATCGATTCACTTCCAGGGACTCAATGGGTGGCTAGCTTTTGCATCTTCTCCGGAGGCCGATGTATTCGGGCAGACCTCTCCAGTTCACGCATGTTCTTCCAGGACGGGCGTAGCGAGGTCCGACACTCCGATGAAGCGCCTCCATGGCACAGTGTGACCGAATGCGCACGGAGAACGCACCTTTCTTCGCCCCCACCCGCCTGATCGCCCCACATTACAGAACGTTGATCGGATTTGTTTTAGAGGGGGCTTCGCCGGGGCCCAGCACCATCCCCTTGACGATAAGCATAAACGGTTGGAGGCCTGGAAATGGGCACCAACACCAACACACAGCGCTGGTGGTAATACTTTCTAGCACGCCAAAATATAACCACCATCACCGAGATCTGGAGCACCTCCCCTCGGTGGAGGCACACGGCCGATATTGGTGCTGGTGTCATCCTCTATGAAGGGGCCCTGGGACACACAAAAAAATACATAAACACACAAAGAATAGGATTCCCCATATTTTCCCATACTTTCTGGGTTTTTGTCTTCCCCCCCACTTCCCATGTTTTCCCATATTTTTATGGGAGTCGACGATAAATTGTGTCTGTGTTTTTTCCGCTCCTGATCTAGGCCTCCCAATAATTTAGATCTCCGCGCGGAGTCTTCAGGTCGGCGCTGGACACCCGTGTGGGCGCCACCGCAGGGGCAGCGCGAGACCTCCCGGAGTGCCATGGGAAAAACGCCGACGGCGGAAAAACATGTGTGTACCGTTCTTTGCCCGCTGCTGAGACACGCGGTGTTGCGCAGTGTTGCGCGTCTCGGGTACCCCGAGGCCAGAAAACAAACCTCCCACATAACCGACAACGAGAGAGAGCGAGAGAGAGGCGTGCGGGAGCCCACTCCCGCGCCCATGGAGGGCTGCCGGCACACGGCCTCCAGCCTGCTGCTCCCACGCGCCGATCGGCGGATTGGCACCCCTAGTGCTGAATGTTGTACATGATAACCGGCCCACAAGAAGAAAATCAACGCCCGCGAAAACAGGCCCGGCCCCGAGACGCTGCGAGACCTGAGCCCTCCGTTTCTTCCGCGGGCGGCGCCGGCAGAGAGGGCCGCCTCCACCGCCGCCCGCGACTCGTGGTGCTCCACGTGCCACGTCTCGCGGCAGGTCAATGGGCCGTACCTGCCCGATGGCCCGATGTGCGCTGCGACCAGGGACAACGGAGTAGCAATGAAAAGGGATACCGGTTCAGGCGGGAGGAGCATCGACCCAGAAGCGGCGGTGCATCGCCGATAGATCGGCGAGAGGCCCCCGCTCGCCAGAACTGCGCACTCCTGGGCGGGGTGGACTGTATGCAACTGTCGCCGATCGGTGCATTCCCGCCAGAGCCTATAGAGGCCGCCCGCAAAAAAAGAAACGAACGCAAATCGGCACCACCTCTGGGGCATCTGGCTAAGACGAAGCCAGAACGATGATACAATCTGGTCAAAATACATCGAGCATCTCTGAGATCCGGCGACTCTGGAGGCTCTGTCGAGCGCCGCGGCCTGCTCAGATCGTTCCAAAACGCTCTGAGAACGCCGCGGTCGGGCATGTCCTCCTACAGGCGGTTTTTGAACGAAGAAAAAGAAATACGGAAACAAAAATTCAAGCATTGCCCAACAAAAATCAACAAATCGTCCCCAAACTATTTTTGAATATTCCTCCTGTGCAGAGACACGCCCGACTGAATCGTAGCCCCGTCCGACATTGCCTCCAGAGCCCATCCGCCCCCCCGGGAGCAAGAGACGACGGGGGAACTTCTGCCCCGGGTCCATCCAGACCCCTGCCAGTCAGGCCTTGCAGGATCCTGCAGGATCGTGCACCCCGACCTGGCTCAATGCGAAAGATCCCGCAAAATCATGCAGGATCCTGCACCCAAGCCCGGGTCAATGCGACCCTGGCCCTGCATGGATCCTGCAAGATCCAACGCTCTGACTGACCCCCGCTTGCCTTTCGGAAGCTGGGCGAGGGCTGCTAAAACCGTGGCTGCTATAAAACGGCCCTCCCGGAAGGAAAACACAACTTCCCGGAATGAGGCGCGGCACGCGAACCAGTCAACGGGCTTCTTCCCGGAAGCACGAAGACAACTTCCTGGAGGTCGATCTTAGCAGCCACACGGATTTAGCAGCCCTTGCCCGGCTTCCGAGCCTTGACCCCCGTCCCGGAAGTCTCGAGACGGTCGGGGATCTTCTGACCCGGGTCAATCCAGGCCCGGGTCAGCAGGAAACCAAAAACTGCAATGCAAGAAAAAAAGCTGCAACGCAGGTCTTCGCAAACCCGGGTCAGCCAATATGCGCGGCCGCCTCGCGGCCACGAGCGGCTCGCAAACCCGGGTCAGCCAGAGGGGGTCTTCGCAGGATCCTGCAGGATCCGGTGCCCTGGCTGACCCGGGTTTGCATTGACCCCCGTCTCTTGAGCCCCGAGTTGGGAACTCGGCTGCGCCACCGGGGGCACCCGGCGCCTCGGCCAGGCACCGCGGCGGGCGGCCGTGCCGCCGTGCCGCCACCTCTCGCTGGCGCGGCGGGAGGCCCGCCGCGGGCCTCTCGGGGGGGCCGCGCCAGCACTTTTTTGGTCCGTCGGGCGGCGAGGCTGAGTTTTTGAGCATGGAGCCACGGTCCCGGCATTCCATCAGTCCTACTTATGATGCATCCTCGGGGGACCTTGCCTGTCCCGTCGCGACCCTGTCCGCGTCGAATATGTGTCGAATCCATGTCGGACTCGTCGGACCCCGTGTCGAGCCCGTGTCAAATTCGCGTCGAATCCACGCCAGATTCGCGTCGAGTCCGCATCGAACCCACGTCGGGCACAAGAAAAAACACCAATTTTGGGGACAGGCGAGGTCCCCCGAAGATGCAACATAATCCTACCACGAGATGTTCTCAGAGCCCAAACATGCTCTCAGAGCAAAAACAAGGCCCTCAGCGCACAGACCCGATGTGCTGGAACAGGACAGTCTCAGCCAGAACTGTTCTCGGAACATGTCGTGCAGACCATAAGCGGTTCTTAGAACAGTATTTGGTGGGCCTATGGGCGAGCCAGGACGCTTAAGACAGGGCTAGGGTCGGGATAAATCGCTCCAGAGCGTTCCGGAGCGCTCTCAGAGCGTTCCAGAACGCTCTGGAGCGGCCGCGGCGCCCAATACATCCTCCAAACCCGCCGATTCTCAGAGATTTCGAGTTATCCCGATCCGATTTTGTCCCGATCTTCGCGTCGTTTTAACGCTTCGCAACTGCTATAGGCATTCGACGGGGGCACCGAAGAGCGAGTAGGCCAGCATGCACGAGCGGGGACAAAAAGA